GTTGAAGCAGAGCCAGAAAACTTCGCCACGGTTATCATGCGACCAGCTGAGCTTTCCGCAGATTGGGAGACACTGCTACGGAGTTGAAGATGCTAGTCCACGGGCGTAATTCTTTTTTCCAATCAAAGGAAGGCGCTACACGGAGTATATCCCAGTGCGTCATTGTCAAGTGACTTACAACACCTTTATCCGGCCAGCAGTGGCGTATCCAGGATCTTGAAAAGGGGGAGGCCAAACCTGCTCAAGGGGCCCCACCCTTACCTTAGGGGCCCCAGTAGTGACGCACTTAACCCACGCCCAGGTGCGGTTCTGTGTCACTTTTACCATGTGAGGGAGCCTTTTTAAGCACACTCGGCAATCTAAAAAAGAAAAAAACATGAAAAAGCCATCGACATCGATAGCTCTGTATGAAGTGTAGGTACATACAATTTATTTCAGCAGTAGGCATACAGTTTTTTTTTTCTTTGGTCGGTGCCGGGGCCACTAAAGATTATCAAAAACAAAATGCTTTGTCAATTTTTTACGATTGTAACATTTTTCAAAGGGCAGATGTCAATCTCTTAGTGTCTTGCGCTGGTTGAGGGCTGATACCCTTAACTTTAGCAGGGTCCGACTCGGGTTGAGCTCTGATCTAGACTCTGATGGCTCTAAGTCGCCCACATTGGCCTCATTCCGGCATCTGAAGGCTCATTCTGGCCTCGGAAAGCCCAACACCGGCAACAGAGTGAACCACGCTGGCCTGCGGGCCCCATAATGGCCTCAGTAGACCCATGCTATGGCTGACCTCATACCCCCCCCCCCAGAGGCGGATCCAGCTCAGAGGTTTGGGGGGGGCAAACCATAAAAATTTATCGATTCTTTCCATGCATCGTCCATAGGCGTAATGTTAAAATCATGCCGTTTGGGGGGGCAAATGCCCATTTTGCCCCCCCCCTGGATCCGCCACTGCCCCCCCCCCCCCCGCCGGCTCTTCGGAGTCTTTGAGTCAGTCTGAGGGACCCTATACCGCTCTCGAACGCACGCCGGTCCCTAGAACCCCATGATGCCCCCTGAGGGTCCCACGCCGGCCTTTATAAGGGCCACTCCTACCTCAAGGGGCCCAAACATGCATAAGATCTGAAAAGTGGTTGCCGAGGCCCTCGAGGTGGCCTCTAATGGCGTCAGCCTATGAAGGCCCGCGCTGGCTTCTGAGGGCCCAGCACCAGTCTCTGAAGTCTGAAGTCAGATGACAGATGGCCCCACGCTGGCCGCAGATGGTTCACGCTGGTCACAGAGTGCCCAACACTGGCCTTAAGGGGCTCCGCATTGTCTTCGGAGGGCCCCAAGCTAGTCTCGGTGGCCAATGGGCCTCAATCTGACCTAAGAAAGCCCCATGTCGCTGGGCTACCCCACGCTGGACATAGACGGCCCCATGCTGGACATAGAGGGCAAACACTGGCCTTACAAGGCCTCACACTGGCCTTAGAAGGCCCCACATTGGCCTTAGAAGACACCACAATGGCCTTAGAGGGCCCACGCTGGCCTTAGAGGGCTGAGCGCTGGCTCCTTAAGGCTCTACACCAGCCTCAAAGGATCCCACGCTCAAGTATATGTAAGCTTCTTTATGACCGCCAAAGCGACCTCTGAGGGCCCACGCTAGCCTCTGGGGGCTCGGCCTTGGCCTCTGAGGGCCTATGAGCGCCATCAAATGGCATTTTAAGATAGTTTGACGCAGTTTGACTTTAGTTATGCTTGGGCCAGTACTTTGGATGAGGCCCTGAAGATATCGTTTCTCTTGGGACACTCAAGCAGGCACGTAGTACGTACCCAGGATTTCGCCCAGGAGGGGGCCGCCTGCTCTCAAAGGGGCCCACGGGTCACCCGGATGCCGCTGTCAACCCAGGCAGGGGCGTTTCCAGAACCTTTCGATGAGGGGATTGGGCACAGTGGGTCCGGTCCCCCCTTGCAGACGGGCCTCTCTGTCCGTCTGTCTGCCTGTCTGTCTAAGTCCTGAGAAAATGTGCAAAATTGGCAGGTAAAAATATCATTTCTTGCTTGAGAAGTATGCATAAAATGCACGGTATTTTATGAGGAAGTGAAGCGAGCGAGCGCCTCAGAGTCACCTGTGTTAGTCCCTCAGAGGTGTCGGTAAAAGGCTATCAGATGCGCTGGTGTGGGGTCCTCACAGGCGCCGTTGTGAGGGCCTTGGGGCTTAGAGACACTGGTGGGGGCCATCACTTAGGCGTGTGTGGGGCCCTGAAAGTTACTGGTGGCCCTTCATAGGCCGGCAAGGGACCCTCAGAGGTCGGTAAGAGGCCCTCAGAGTCGCTGGTAAGTGACCGTCAGATCCGCTGCATAGGGCCCTCGGAGGCGCCGGTGTGGGGGCTCTCAGAGCCGCCGAAGTAGGCCCTTAAAAGGCACTGGTGAGTGGTGTGGGGCCCTTAGAGGTGGCAGTGGAGGCCCTCGCAGGCGCCGTTGTGAGGGCCCTCAGAAACACCGGTGTGGGCCGTGGGCCATAGCAAACGGGTATGAGGCCCTTACAGCTGATCTCTCATTAGCCTTCAAGGACCCTCAGAGGCCGGCAAGGTCCCTCAGAACCTGGCGTGAGGCCCCTCTGGAGATAAGTGTGGCTACAGAAAAGCCCATGGGGTGTTCTCACAAGCCCTGTGGTCTCCTTTCCAGTTGAAGCGTTGCCAGCGCGGGCCCTCTGCCGCCAATTGGCACCGCAGGTCCTCTCGGGCCCGAGGGGACCCTAAACCCTATAACGGACACGTGCCCCCTCGCCCCTGGCCATACCATTGAATCCAAGTGATCACGGGCCGTTCAGGTAATCAGGGGCCTCTCAGATGACCAGGGGCCTTTCAATTGACCAGGGCCTTTCAATTGACCAGGGGTCTTTCAATTGACCAGGGGACCCTCTGATAACCAGGGGACGGTTATACCAGGGGCTTCACGGGTAACTAAGGGCCTTAATGTGACTGCAGGGGCCCTTCATATAACCAGGTACTCCTGGGGTAAACATGGGCCCTTCAGGTGACCAGGGTTTCTTTAGACCACTGGCCAGGGGTCACCCAGGGGATCAGGGGCCCCTCAGGTATCTAGGGGCCCTTTAGATAGCTAGGGGCCCCTCAGGTAACCAGGGACCCCTCAGATAACCAGGGGTCCCTCATATAACAAGAGGCCCCACTGGTAACCAGGGGCCTCTCAGAAAATCAGGGGCTCTCAGGCAATCACGAGCCCCTTAGGTAATCAGGGGCCCCTCAGGTAAGCAGGGGCACCTCAGGAAACCAGGGGCCCCTCAGGTAACCATGGGCCCCTCAGATAACAAGGGCCACTCAGGTTACCAGGGCCCCCGTAGCCAGGGGCCCCTCAGGTAACCAGGAGTCCTTCAGATAACCAGGGTCCCCTCAGATAACCAGGGGCCCCTCAGATAACCATGGGCCCCTCAGATAACCAGGTGCCACTCTGGTAACCAGGGGCCCCTCAGCTAATCAGGGACCCCTCAGGTGACCAGGGGGACCCTCAGGTAACCAGGGCGCCCCTCAGGGCCCCCATGGCCCCCCTTGGGTACGTCACTGCACTCAAGTGACCCAAAGGGCCCACTTGCATGTTTGATGCCAAAGGGGGAGGCCATGGCCTCTTGGCCTCCCCCCTGGATACGCCACTGCCGGCCAGCTGTCTGCGAGGTGTAGTGGTTGGTTAGTGCACTCGCCCCGTGTTCAGAGGACCGAAGGTTCGAATCCCGCCGGCGGCTGAATTTTTTAGCGCGTTGTAGGTTTGTAGGCTGTAGGTTAGATCAAGTTAGGTTAGGTTAGGTTGTTAGTTTTTGTTTGGTTTGGTTACAAAGAAGCATCTTCAGGTATAGTGCCTACCTTTGGTTGGAAAAAAGAAACACGCAGTCCATGGATGGCTCACGCCGCGCTACATTTATGAACAGGCATTAGTGACGCAGTTCTGAGTCCACGGGTCCGGCACTAACATCAAATTCGGTTGATACGTTCAGAGCATATTCCTGCAGGAATATTCACCGCGGACGGTAAATTTCCCGAAAATGGCCGTTCGGAGTCGTTCCCGGATGTAATAGGTGTTCTCTATGTGATGCCACAATGCGTGCGTGGTCCTCGGCATCAGTATTTCGGCTCGTGGGTCGTTCACATAAATCTGAGCGAATGAGGGTGGCTGGTCTCCGTTGGCTTCGAGTGGTTCAAGTCGGTGCCGCAGTCCGCACCACATGTACACGGCACGTACCCGCCGGTGCCAGCAGGCTGTGGCACCCGCCACGGCTCACGCGCAGACATCGACGACAGGGCCAGCGCCGAGTTCAGACTTCAGATGCCTGGAAAACTGACGGAAGGTACGCGCTTCCACACCGTCGCCAGCCCAAAGATGGCGCAGCACAGGTGGCGGGGCCGGCACGGGGTCAAGGACCTCCCCCAACCCACCCACCCCACAGCAGAAGGCGGCACGTTCACCCAACAACCGTAAGGCCGCACGCGCTACGCCAGCCTGCAGCCGCTCCCCTAGCATCATAGCATTCGTTTGCACTAGAACATACAGGGTGTAACGAAATTATCCGGACATCTATTTTTTTCGCCATATCTGCTCGCACAGTTTCTTGTTTAATGTGGAAGCTGGAAAATTGGATGAATGCATATTATCACAGACGGTGTCTCGGTCCAAACTGTATTCGAGCCGGCCAGGTAGCCCCCGGGTCACAGAGGCAACGCCACCACGGTTCACATACGAGTGTCATGAGCGCATGTCACGAGCGCAAGTACGCGTGCACCGGCGCGGCGGCCGCCAGCTCAGCTCCATGACACTCCTCTGTGTGGATGTCAGACTGTGTCGTCATTCCCGCGTCCCTTTGTGTCGGGGCGCGGCCCCGCGCGGACTGCGCGTGCGCGGCCTGCGCGCGCGCGCGGACCCGGCGAGGGTCAGTCGGTGTCGGGGACGCGGCCGGGGTGCGGCTCCGCTGGAGTGAAATATAGACGTCGGTGCAGGACATCTGTGTGTCGAGCGGCAGCGCGCGAGAGCATCACATCCTCCACCCCGAATACTTGCACAGCATGGACAAACAAATAAATATGCACCTCACAGAACAAATAACAACTGAAACAAAACGCCTACTCATAGCTCGCCACGTATCGGTCTGGGGGCTGCAGGGTGGACCGGTCTCTCAGCCGGTACTGCGGCGCGCTGGGAGAGGGTGCGGACGGCGGGACGGTGGTCACACCCGGCGCGGGCACCGCTCCGGTCAGCCCGGGCGGCGCCGGAACAGGCGGCCGGCCAGGAGCAGGCGCTCGATCAGGAGCCGGCAGCCGGTCGGGAGTGGAGGCCAGTTGTCCGGGAACGGGAGCATGCCGTGCAGATGCAGCGGCGCTCTCCGTGACCGGATCAGGAGCAGGTATCGGTGTCACTCTGGAACGGAGAGGATCGTTAGCGACATGCGGAACAGCTGAATATCGCTCACGAACCTGGTCGGCGTGCCGCACAATCACCCTTCCGTCATTTAGCTCCACAGTGACCTTAACCCTCTACGAACACTACACGACCGGGCGCCCACCGACAACGCTCCAATCCCTGCAATCTATCGACAGCAGGCACATACACAGGGTCACCCGGGTTCAGACATCGTTCACGGGCATTTCGATCACGGTACGTCTTTTGAGCCTCCTGCTGTCTCCGTATACGCTCCTGCCTATCTGGTAGCACACCATCTAAATGAGTGCGTGGCACACGACCCAGAAATAATTCGGCGGGCGTACATGAGGTCGTAGTATGCGGTGTTGTGCGGTACCTAAACAGAAATCGAGAGACCTTGGTCTCAATGGACCCCCGAGATCTGTTTGTACAGCCCGTTTTGGAAGCTTTGCACGCTTCTTTCGGCTAAGCCGTTTGATTTGGGTGATAGGCTGGGTGTCGTTAAGTGCCTGATCCCATTTACACTGCAAAACGTTTTGAATTGCTGCGATACAAAACACTGGGCGTAGTCTGTCACTAGCACTGTTGGCACTCCCCAGCACGCAAACGACGCTCGTAATTTTTCAATCGTGATCAGTGAGTCGGAGGAACGAGTTGGGTAGACGTCCATCCATTTGGAGTGGGCGTCGACTATCACCAGAAACATCTATCCGTTAGCCGAGCAATAGTCTACATGGACTCGCTGCCGGGTCGAGTCGGCCACTGCCAAGGATGCAGTGGAGCGTCAGGGGCCCTGCCCTTCAGTTCCTGACACTTCACACAACACTTCACGATATCACGAATGTCGTCATCGATTTTTGGCCACCAAACATACATTTTAGCCAACATTTTGGTTCTACACTCGCCAGCATGACCTTCATGTAATAACTTAAACATGGCACCCCGTCCCTGCGGCGGGACTCGTGACCCCCACAAAACACAGCCATCCTGCACACTCGTCACTCAGTTCACCTATACGGGACCTGTACGGCTGAAAATCAGGGCTGAGGGAAACACTATTGACATCCGACCAGCCATCTCTGACATATCGATGTACCGCTGACAACACGGGATCCAGAGCGGTCCACCGCTGTATCTGGGACACATTCACTGGGGATGAGTCGATGAACTCAAGTAAATGGACAGTCTCAGCCGGAATTGGAACGCTCGAACAAGCCTTCTCGCACGAAGGCAGCCTGCTAAGCGCGTCACAGTGGCCTTGCTTAGATCCTTGCCGGTACTCAAGGTGGTAATCGTAGGCCCCAAGCATCAGAGCCCAGCGGACCATCCTAGGTGACGCCATCACGGGCAAAGGTTTCTGCTCTCCTATGAGGCCTATGAGAGGCTTATGATCTGACTGTATAGTGAAAGTTCGCCCCGCTAGGTAATAGTGAAATTTCTTAACGCCGGTCACTACAGCTAATGCCTCTTTATCAGTCTGTGAGTATCTAGTTTCGGTGTCATTCAACGTGCGCGAATAGTAGGCCACAGGTCGCTCGCCCTGTGATGTCCGCTGACTCAACACACAGCCAATGCCGAGCGGTCCCGCGTCACAGGCGAGAACCACCGGAAGGGCGGGATCAAAATGGGCTAGTACAGGAGGGCTAACTAGCATCTCTTTGGCTTTCCGAAAAGCAGACTTCTCTGCCTCAGCCCACTGCCAGGGCTGATCTGCCTTTAGAAGACGATAGAGCGGAGCCAAGACACTCGCCAGGTTCTCAAGGAATTTCCCATAGTAGTTGATTACTAGCCACTTACGCAGTTCCTTACCATCCCGCGGTTCCGGGGCACGGACAATCGTGGCCGTTTTCTCGTCGGTGGTCTCCACACCACGGCTGCTTATCTTAAGCCCCAGATAGGTCACGCTGCTGACGCTGAAGCTACACTTGGCCTTGTTGAGCCTAAAACCCGCTTCCTCCAGCCGTCTAAGAACCTGCCGGAGGGCCTCGTCATGCGCAGCGGCATCGACACCCGCGACTACAATGTCGTCCAAGAAGACCCCAACGCCAGAGATACCAGCCAGGACAGTTTCCAGCGTCCGCTGGAACAGCGACACTGCACTCGAATAGGCGAAGGTCAACCGAAGGGGTCGAAGAAGACCCCTCGGGGTGTTTACCGTGAAATACTCGCGGGCCTTTTCATCTAGCGGAAGCTGATTATACGCGTTTTTCAAGTCGATCTTTGAAAATATGGTACATCCCGACAGTTTTGAGTACAGTTCCTCCACACGCGGCAAGGGATACTGCTCTGCCTTAGCAGCCCTGTTGACGGTCAAGCGGTAGTCCCCACACACCCGTATTGACTGACCCCCAGCCTTGGGACAACCACCAAGGGAGCCACCCATTTGCTGTGCCGTACCTGTTCCCAGAGTCCGCCACGGATCTGGTCCTCCAGCTCGGTGTCCACAGCTTCCCTGAAGGCCAGCGGTACGGTGCGAGGCTTGAAGAAACGAGGCTGGACGTCCGGGTCTACGTCGATGCCGACTTCCCCGCCTCGATAGCAGCCCAGCTCCTCCTTGAAACGTCAGCGAACTCGTCCAGGATGGGCTGCAAACGGGTCTCCGCAGTCACTCAACAGATGGAGGGCCAGTCGAGCCTGATGTGTCCCAGCCAGTTCCTGCCGAACAGCCAGGGCCCGCCACCTTCGACTACGATGAGAGGTAGTCGCTGAGCCTGTCCGCCGTACTGAACGTTCACTGCAGCCTGCCCCATGACTGGCAGCTGCTCACCGCTGTAGGTCTTCAGCTTCACCGAACACGGTTCCAGCTTCGGCCCGCCACAGGGCCAGAGCTGCCGAAACCCGGCGTCAGAGCAGACCGACAGAGTCGCCCCGGTGTCCAGCTCCATCTCGACTAGAGTTGCAAAGTTTCCCCCAAAGGCTGCTACCGGCACCGCCCCGCCCCACAATTTTTTTTTGGGATACCGGCATGCTACCACGCCCAAAGCAAAAACACCACCAAATTACCGGCATACTAAAAAACCTGCATTGTTGATTCCAGTTTACCCCTACAAGAGATGCCACATTTTCCTCTTAGTGTCCAAAGTTTGAATCATATGCTAATATTTTTTTTGTGCAAAACCAAAAATACCGGCATGCTACCGGCAAGACATGCCAGATACCACAAAAAAACCTGCGGTAATGAAAAATTACCGGCATGCCGGTAATGCGGTAGGGAAACTTTGCAACTCTAATCTCGACCTTCTGACCGTCGAGCGCTACCGGCACCATCAGCGGCGGTCGCCTGACACCGAGGCCGGTCCGGACGGTGAAAATGCTGTATGTACACCTCCTCACCGGTCCCGGGACTAGAACTCCTCGGTTGCATAGTGCGGGTGCCGTCCTCCCTGCTACCCTCCTGCGCGTCCGACCCTTGTAACGCGTCGCCATCAGCCGAGACATGGCGGAGGTACTCGGACGTGACCCCTGAGGCCACAGCTGTAGCACACCTTATCGATGAACGGGCACTTGGCCGGCTGATGATACCTCAGGCACCTAAAACAGCTCGCCGCCGTGCTGTCACCTGGCCCGGGCGTCGTCCTGTCACGCTGAGAGCGCAGCCGACCACCAGCTCTGGAGTCCGCTGCGCCGCCACCGCCGTCCCTGTAGCTGGCAGGAGCGCGGGCAGCACCGGCACCCCTAGAACTGCTACGCAGCCGCAGCGGACCCCGGGCACCAGTCAGCCGATGAACGGAGGCTCCATCTGCTCGCTGCTCAGCACCGCCGCTGAGCTCAGCCGCACTCGCTGCCGCCGACTCGTGTGCCTGAGCCAGCTGCTCCGCCGACTGGAGCGTCAGCCCCGGCTCACTGAGAAGCAAGGTTGCAGCAACTCGTTCCGTATGCCACAGACCAAACGGTCACGCAGCATTTCATTAAGGACATTAGGTGCGAACGAACAGTCTTTAGCCAGCTTACGAAGCCGCGCTAGAAAATTAGCAACTGTCTCACCGTCATTCCTGGAGCACGAATGAAACCGGAATCTGGCCACTATTTCAGATTTATCCGGCTCGAAGTGACTTTGCAAAACGCTGACCAGCTGATCGTATGTTTTCTGCCTTACAGTGGCTGGAGCAATAAGATCTTCCATCAGACCGAACGTTTTTGCGCCGATCGCACAAAGCAGCACGGCCCGCTTCTTTGCTTCTTGATCACTCCCGATATATTGCGCCACAAAGTACTGATTTAACCGCCGCGTATAAGCACCGAAGCACTCAACGTCCGCATCGAACTCGGGCGCCCTGCCCGCCATCGCCGCGTATTCGAGCCGGCCAGGTAGCCCCCGGGTCACAGAGGCAACGCCACCACGGTTCACATACGAGTGCCCCCAGCACGGATGTCACGAGCGCAAGTACGCGTGCACCGGCGCGGCGGCCGCCAGCTCAGCTCCATGAGACATATCTCTGGTATCTGCTCTCAACTCAGCAGTGACCTGACCTTGCGAAATGACGTTTGCTCTTAGTAAGAGTCGAGTCGCCAACGGTTTCATTTGAGAGTTTTCGTTCAAGGAAGTGGAGAGAAGGGAGTACAGTCTCTCGTTTCGTAGTAAGGCTAAGTGTTAGTGGCATGGTGGCATGAGCCAGGAGCTGGTCTGTCAGCAGCTGGACATCAGCAGCAGCCAGTAGCACATCTGCCTGAGGCGTAACAGACTGGGACTTGGTGGCAGACTCAGTCCGGCGTCGATCGCAAAAGGCGCCCTTTGCCAAGTGGTGAGAAGAGTTGTCAAGATAGCGACTGGGAAACGCAAACAGACTCGAATTCTTACCAAGGCAGATAATAAGAGGTCCCACATCATGATTCACCATTACCCGCCCTTTAGCTTGGTCTTGCTGCCCTTCAAACTGAAAAAGACAATGAAATTGACGGGACAACAACCAGTCCACCACCTTTGGACTCAGGCCAGGGCGTTTCCACTGGTCGAAGGAAAAGATGAATGAGGTGGCCTGGTCGGATGGGAAGCCGTTCGAGCTGCGATATCCGTTGAGCCGTCAAATTGACCATGTGTGGGCTGCCAGCAGCTCGAACGGCGTCGCCCGGCGTCAAACATCCGGCCAAAATCTAGACCTGAAGCATGTTCAGCTGCTGTGTAATATTCAAGCTGTTCATGACGCCACAGAAAACCACTATCAGTGATAAGTATTACCGGCGCAACATCCTGGCTAGCGATTGGTTAGAGCCACTCAACCAGGCTGCACAGGTGGGCTCAGTTTCTGAACGTGTACTGATGCCTGATTCAAGCCGCGCCGTTTTCATGCGGGGCGGCGCACCACCATGAAGTCCCTAGCAGAATGATAAGTGATGCCGAGAGGACCTATTTTTCTTTTCAGCTTCACTGGGGGGCCAGCGGCATCACTGCGGGGGGCTATGCCCCCCCTAGCATCTCAGAGGAAGTCCTGGGGGCCAACCATGTGTTTTGCCCCCCCCCCCACACACACACACTTTTTACTCGAGGCCCTCTCGTCTAGGACGTGGTCACCTTCCAGAATAAACAAACTCGGTAAAAATAAGTTCCACGAATCCCCACGCACAGAGTACAAGGGACCCTTGTTGATCCAAGGAGGCCCTCTATCCATACTCGTCAGCGGAGGCCCCTGGAACTGATGCCCTGAGATGCGCTAGTGGATCTGAGGAGGCCCCAATATCCACACTCACTGAAAAAAGTTTTTACCATCAATTTACTAAGTTACTAGCTTTGGTAAATTTTACCATCAGCCTACCATCATATTACTACCAGCCTACTATGGTGCTGAATACTATCCTGCCTTGACATGTTGATATTACCATGGTTACGTTTATCAGGGGTGGTTTTGTACCCCAGTTTACAAGGTGGTAACCACCTGAGGCTAGTAGATACCCTCGTAAGCTAATATTCCCTACCATAGTAAAATCAACCTTTCCACGGGCGGATCCAGCGGTGAATTCGGCGATCAAGTCTCCTCCTTTCCATAGAGGTGTTTGCCAATTTTTGATATGTTGGAAGGAGCGTCATCCAAGGACTAGCTGAGACCCTGAGCAATTAATAGTTTTATGGACGAAAGGCCAGAAATTTCTTGCAACAGTTCCCTGGGTGTGCTTCTGCTGCTATGGTAAGGTATACCATGGCAACACCATGACAACACTACACCCTTACTAACAATCCACGTGCGTCTGACTCTGCTGCAGCGGCGCCGCCATGTCAGTTCCGGCCGCGCGCCGGCGTTGTGAAGGTGCTCCGTGGTTTTAAATATTTGAACGGTGATTGTGTGGGTGGTTAGCGTAGCTGACGGTGGAGGATACTCGGAAATAACAAGTAAGTCGTTGTATCTTCAGCATAATAATACTTATCTCACGAGTGCCATTTCCAGCAAAGATCGCAGCCTTTGTTTCGGTTCATGTTGTTGAATTTCCTTGAGACCCTGTTGGACCGGGTAGGGGGAGGGTGGTGGGGTGGGTATCATTGCGGGCATTTCCCAGCGTCGGAAATCAACGTGTTTTTTTATTTGTTAACCCACGCCTCACTGGGGTATGTGCTCTAACGCGCCCCACAGCACGTTACAGCACGTTACAGTGGGGGGGGGGGGGGGGGGCTCCTAACTCCGAAACTACTGGGCCGATTGTCAAAATTCAAACGGCCCCTGGTAGCCCTGGAAATATTGTTGAGCGAAGCCTAATGTCATTGACCTCGAGGTCATCGATGACGTCACAGGTCAGGTCAAAGTAAAAATATCAGCGTCTTGGCACTCTGGGCGCCGGCCAACAAATCAGATCAGGCTCATTTTTTGTTTGCACACTCGTGAATATATGCGTAACATAACCTGAGGGTACCGAACTTGTACTTCGAATTTTTCAGGTCAAGGCCATCTCATCCCAGGTCACGAAAGCTTTATATCGTGCATCGGTGACGTGAGACATGTTTTATGGTTCATGTAGGCCATATATATCGAAATCAGTGTTGTATGTGTCAGTTTAGGCCATTTTAGCTGAATATAGCTGAGGTCAGGTCAGGTCACTTTAGGTCAAAAATGGTCAAATTTTGAAGTTGACATTTTTCAACAAAAAAGGTGTTTGTCAGATGAAGTTCACATATATTCAACGCATATGTGTTCAAACACATATAGACCCCGTTTCCATGGGCATCACTGATCCGGATCAGCAAACTTAAATCGTATTATATTTCTCGAACTCTTCGTTACATGATATAATTCCAAGTGGATTAGGCTTATATAATCAGTTAATCCCTTATTTTCATTTTCATATATTGTCTAACTATACTGGATTAGCTAATCCATTTTTACTGATCCGGATCAGTGATGCCCATGGAAACGTGGTCATATTCTGCTTTTTTCATTCAGAAACGTATATGTAAAAAAATAAAAAATACAATTTCTGAGTTTTTATATTTATAATTTTCAAAATATTCAACATTTCGAAAGTCCGAAATCAGTTTGGTAGCCCTGTAGAGTCCACCCATGCAAAAAAAGGATCTAGCTTAACCCTCAAGGCGGTGGGGGGGGGGGCATTTTTTGCATCCATCTTTAGTTTTTTTTTTCGATATATCTCCAGAACCGCTGCG